TGCCTGTCCTTTCCCCGAGTGGCAGCAGGGTGGGACCAGTCCCCTTCTCTCCCTGGTGCAGGGGACTCAGAGGACGACGAGAGTGAACAGGTGGTGTGGCCACAGAGGAGGCTACTCTCAAGAACATCCAAGAGCAGCTCCAGGGCCGAAAGGTACAAACGTTCCCCAGCAATGCTGAGCTTGTGTGTCCTGCCCCTTCCCAGCACCCTGACCCCCTGCAGAGGATCTTCTCTCTGATGATCCACCAGCCCTAATGGGGACCCTTTCTCCTCCATGGATCTGGGACTCCCAAGATTGGGGTGTTTGTTACACACACCAGCTGGGGTCTTCCCCCACAAGCACTGCTTGTGCAGGAGTGGTGGGTGATCTGGACAATGGGGGTCCCCCACTCTCCCCCATTCAGACCTGAGTCCTGCCTGGGGGGTGTGGCAGGAGGTCCCTGGCCTAGCCTGGCGCTCTCTCCCTAACCCCACTCCTGGTGGGTGCAGGATGAGGCCCCAGCACCTCATGTTCCTGCACACCATCCACCCCACGTACCTCGGCTGCACTGGGCCAGGAGGAGGAGGGAGACACACTGGAGCCGACTTGCTGCAAGGCAGCTGTAGTGGAGGAGGGATTGTGGTGAGCGAGACCACGGTGCCCAGCAGCTGGAGGGAGGACAGAGACATGGGAGGGGCAGGAATCTCCCCGGGCCAATAGTTTGATGGGAGGCTAAGATGACCTGGAGGGCAGCTGGTAGGGCAGGATGGCTGGAGCTGAAGATTGGGGAGAAGAAGCTGGAGAAGTTCTGAGATTGGTCACTAGTGGGCAGGTCAGAGGAGTGGGGGCAGTTGTGTGTGGTGATCACCACAGGTGTGGGGCACCTGGCTGTGTAATCTCCTCACTGGGAAGTGTCAGGTGAGGGCCCCCAATCTCCCACATGCTCCCTTTGATCTCCTTTGGGTCTCACAGGAGCTCATTGGAGGAGCTGCCTGTCTGCTCCACCTGGTGCCATCCTTACTACTCCCTGATTGTGTGGACAACCTCAGGTACTGAGACCCTCCTTGCCCAGTTCCCCCTAACCCTGGGCTGCCCAGGCCGGCCCAGGGCTGGGAGTCACTTTCTCTCCCCACTCCCAAGGTCCCTCCCAAGGGTGGCCTCTGTAAGTGGTGGGAAGGTTCACGCTCTCTGGGCTGGGCTTGTTATTTTTCTCCAGTAAACATTGCAATGGCTTTAGGGAGAGGCTCACTCCAGGATCAGGATCAGGAGGGGCGCAGGGTCAAAGGGGAGAGCGCTTATTCCTTCCCTGCCACTGTCTTGAGTCTGGGAAACCTTGGCCTTGTCATTCCCTGGGCTCGGTGCCTCAGTTTCCCACTCTCACCAGCCTGTGCCCTATTTCCCTGCAGTTCCACGTCCATGTTGGTGCCAGTCCCACCCCTGCCCTGCACAGTCTATACTGGCTCCTGTCTCTTATCAGCACCATGACACCTGCCCTGGAGCCAGATCTGGAGACTCTACCTGCCTTGAGCTGCCCTGCATGCCGTCTTCACCCTGGGCACAGAGAAGGACACCACCCAAGTCCAGGTATATCATGCTGAGTCATGGATTGAAGAGCCGCTGCCCATCCTGCCATGAATCCTTGCAAATTGGCCTGCAGTGGGATCTGGAATGCAGGCCAGAATATGTGTTTGGAGGTCTCACCCAGTGCTCCCCTGTAGGGACCCTCTTCCCATCCTTAGCAGGTGTAGTCCAGTTTCCTAACTCTGACTCTTGGCTCTCCCTTGCTTTGCAGGACTGCATAGGGTCTTGCCAGACCTCCTGATGCCATGCTGGAAACCTGCTGGCAGAGGCCCTGGACACCGGCAGGCTCCACTACATCTTGGAGTGTGGAGCCCAGTGTGGGATGGGGGCAATTTACCCACTCTTAGATCCATTTTCCAGTCCTATCCTCCTAGCTGGCAACCAGTGGGCCGTCCTTGGTCAGGGCAGTCCCCGTGCCCATCGCAGTGTCACGCCCTTCCCTCCTTAGAAGGACCAGAGAAAGGGAAGGAGCCGGGACTTCAAGCCTTGAGCTCGCCTGGTTCTGCTGAGCCACTAATCATGGACCTCTGGCAGGCTGGGAGTGAGAGTCTGAACCCCTCCTGTGAGATCCAGAAGATGGTCCTCGAAAGGAAGAGTCACCGGCTTGCTTCCTAGGAGAAACAGGAGGACTCCAGAGAATCAGCTCCAGACGGGCCCTGAGATTCCTGTGAGGTTAGCTCTCACATCAGTCCCCTCACCCTTAACCAAGGACTTGAGGAGCTAGGGGAGGGGTGGGGGGTCTGTCTCCTTTCTGGTGAGCTGTTTCAGAATCAGGAGTTTAGGGAGGATGGGACTAGCCCCGAGCCCGAACTGATTGTTCCAATCTGAAGAGAGACAATGTTGTAGACCTGCAGGATACAAGCATCGTCCTGGGGGCCAACCAATCCCTTTCCTAAAGCTCTGCCATCAATGCATCAGATATTCCACCCCGCGCATCAATGTCTCCAGCCCCCCGGGGTCGGGGTGGGTCTCATTCAGGTCAGCCATGTGCACCTGCCCATTGGTCCCTGTGCAGCCTCCTTTCCACAGCACATTAACTACTGGATCGTGTCCAGGGTGTGCCATGAGAGAGCCAGGGCCACAGTGAGACCTACCTCCCTGAGTTTGGACGTAAGTGATCTCTGACCCCAGCTTTCTGACTCCAGGCTTAGGTGGGCTGGCTCCAATGTGGCTGTAGGATTCTGCTGCTGCAGGGGCTGTGGGTTAGAGTGTTCCTCTTAGGAGAGCGAGTCAAGGATAATGAGCTTGGTTTGAGTCAGGTTCTTCTTGTCATTTGGTTTAAATTGATGACTCTGGGCTTTCCAGGGGACCATGCTCCAGGTTCTTGCTTCCTGTCATCCTGAGCACTGGGGAAGCAAGTCCTCATGGAGGGCCTGCCCCACATCCCTGTGCTCCAGGCTCCCTTGGGAGTAGAGAAAACCAAGAGGCCTAGCTCTGGCTCCCTGTCTCTGCATCTCCTGCAAGGGGCGGAGGGGAAGGAGAGTCCTGGCCCAGCGGGAGACTGGGAGCTGACAGGAAAATGCTGATGGAGTCCCCCTCTCCCTCTCTTTTCCATTAGAACTCAGCATTCCCCAGGGATAGGTCCCATGTGGCACAGCTGGCTCTCTGTTCATCTTTGACCCAGCTAGAGGACATCAGCCGGCAGGCCAGGGAGGGGTTTACCTGCTCTACCAGCTTGCTGCACCAGAGGAGTAAGGAACCCAGCTGGGAAATGGCACCCGATAGAAGAGTGAGACTGGGACTCCAGCTAATTTCTCTCAGACTTTACCACCAGCTGGAGGATGAGTCTCTCTTCTCTTCTCTGTTCTACACACCCCTTGCAGTTCTGCTGGGCCCAGGTTCACAGCGAAAGGACTCCTTGCCTATGCAGCATCACCAGATGGGACTGGAAGGACACAGGTCTACGGCAAACCAGAACGACAAAACTGGTGTCTCTCTCTTCCCAGGGTTGACCATCCTTGAGGCTGAAGACCTGTGGTGCTGCAACTGGCACCAGGATAACAGGCTCCTGGGTTACAAGAACACAGCCCAGGGTAGGGGAGGTAAGCAGTGGTGTGAGCTGGAGCCGGTTCACACCGGTTCACACGAACCGGTTGTTAAATTTCGAAGCTGGTTTAGAACCGGTTGTTAAGGGGTGTCAAACTCCAGCCCGCGGGACCATCCTGTCTGGCCCGCCCGAGCTCTCAGCTGGGGAGGCTCTCCTGAGAATCCCTCAATTTTTACTCACCTGGTGGCTCTCCAGGTCTTGGCGGCACTGGGCGGCAGGTCCTTTGGTGCTGCCGAAGACCTTGGAGCGACTGAAGGAACTGGTTCTTCAGCTTTGGCAGCTCATCACTGGAGGTAAGGACATTCTGCCAGGGCATGAGACAGTTCAGGGAGTATGGGATTTGGATCCTGGCTTTGGCCAATCTGCTAATGCCTCACATCCTGTTGGTTTTCAGTCTTCGGAAAGTTCTTTTCAGAGGGGCAGAGAAGATTCTTCCTCCGGAGAGCAGTGCTGGCTATCCACGATCCCCTGCTGCATGTCAGCCAATCTGGGCTGCTCCTCGCCTACTCCCTCCTGGGGAAGCCCAGCAGCTGATGGGGGACAAGGTAAGCAACTGCATTACAGTCAGGAGATTGGGGTGGTGCCCAAGCCTCATTCCTATCCTATTGCCATTCGCTGGCCTGGCAGCAAGGAGCCTGGTGGGGAATGAGAGTGAGAGCAGGTGCTACTGGGAAGGGAGATGAATCACCTCCACGAGCAGGAGGGAGCCAGTTTGTCCACAGAGCAGCTCCAACCCAGCTGTTTAGCAAGGCTAATTAATGACAAGCATTACCTCATCACAGACTTATGTTCTTAGGACACGGTGCTATCGCTCTTGGGAAGGGCAAAAGAGTCCCCTAAGTGCCCTCTGCGAGCCTCTCCTGTTCCACAGTGGCCTAGTGTCTGTGTCACCTGAGCCATCACCCAGAGTTGCTCCCATCACTGGCAGCCTGGGAGGCCAAGGACTGACGGGTGATGTGAACTGACCAGGCAGGGCTGAGGCACATGGGCGGGGGGGAAGCTTGTCCTGCTGCTGGCAGGGCTGGACCTGCTCTAGAGAGAACGGGAGGATTCAGTCAACAGGGGCTGCTGATCTGCCCCATTTACCAGGGCTGCCATCCTGCAGCTTCAGCATTAGTGGCTGGGATGACTTGGTGAAAGGTCTCAATCTCCCCACAACCCTCTTCACTGCTGCCAGAATCCCTCCCTCCCCCCGCCCCCACTAGAACCCCCTCCCTGCCCAACCTGGGTGGGGGTGGGGGTGGAGAAGAGGGTTCTGAGAACCCGAGCTGTGGATTGGAGGTGGAACAGCTCTCAGGGGCCTGAGGGGGAGGTGGCAGGAGCTCACACTACAAGGGAGGGGGGGTTGGCACTAGAGGTCACTAGAAAGGACAACAAGCCTCCATTCTGGGGGTCAGGAGGGTGAATCCATGCCTCCGGAGGTGGGCAGGGCTGGGTGGGAATGCTGCTGGTTCCAGGTTCCCTTAATCCCCCTGATTCTTCGGGACGCTGAGTCTCTGACAGGTTCTCGTTCCCGTGCAGCAGGAGGACCGTCGTGGCCAATGTGATGCGCCAGCTCTGCATCATCCAGCGCTTGCGCCAGTGCCTGAGGCACTGCAGGGGCTGTGCCTCTGAGGCCACCAGCCACTCCCACTCCCAGCTGCAGGTACTGCTCTGGCTCGCTGTAAATGGGGAGCTAGTGGAAGGGGAAATGGAGCCCTCTGGCAAGTCAACAGAAACTCTCTCTCCTCTCTGTGGAGAAAGTTCCTTCTCTCTGCCCCCAAATTCCTTCATCTAGGGAAGGAGTTCTTCCCCTTACACCCATTCCCCTTCCGCTACTCCTTGGCCTGACTCCCATCCCATTCCCCCTGCTCCCAGGCAGAGCTTGCCCTGCCCCCATAGGGGAGCAGGATGGCTGTTGAGTCAGGGCCACGAGCCCTTGGCCCCACTGAAGCTTGGAAAGCTCCACTTTTGAGGAGATGGGGATGGGACAGAGGCTCAGGGCTAGCTTCACCCTCCTGCCCTTTATTCTCCATTTGGCCTCTCCCACCCAGGTTTCTGGGGTCTCCCTTCCCAGTTGCTCTTTCACGCCCTCAGAACTGTCACAGCCTCCCAGCCCGGCAGCTGAGCCACCTCCTGGGAGCAGTGGGGACAGGTCACCTCATCCCATCAAACCAAGCAATGCTGGGTCTCAAAGAGGCTTAGATGGAAGACCCCACTCCCTCCCATGGAGGTAAGAACCATTTACTCCTTGGGACATGTGGGTCTCTTAGGGAGAAATGGGATCCCCCGGTAAACAGCCTGGCTGGGAGCATCACCTTTCCAGCTCCCAGCTCTGGGACAAAGACGCCCATCTATTGTATTACCCTGGATTTGTTTCTCTAGAAGGGATCTCAGAGATGTCCTCGAACCTGGACTCCTGAGAGCATTTCTGGCAGGAGGCTCCAGCCCCTCAGGCTTGAAGAGGAGCATCAGGTAGTCTTGTTCACATGGCATCTCCGGCCTCCAGCT